TAGAATCAAGAATGCAGTATGTTTTACATCACATTTGCTACTTGAAGCAATGCAATTAAGGAAAAAAGAGACGGTGGGTTTCACATGCTTGAAAATGCTTTATATGTTTGCTTTTATTTTTAAATTTTCATTTGAATACGCTTTGCATGCTATGTTTATGTATTTTTATTTTAGATAATAGGTTTTTTTAAAATTTAAGTTTATATTTTTTTTATTAACATTATGTTTAATATTTTTTTAATTTTTTGCTTTTTTTTTAATTTTTGGCACTTTTTTGAATTTTCTGACCTTTTTTTTGTAATTTTGTGCCTTGCTTAACTGTTCATTAGTTTATCAATTAAAACAATGTCATCATCAGACAGCATACACCATGGGACCTCCTCCTGAACAAGTTTAGTCAATTGATCAGTGCTAAACAAGGGCTAATTGTTGAACCTTGGTGAAGACCTATCTTAACTGTAAAATAAGAGAATTGGAAAATAAATGGACCAAAGTAATGGTGGTCTTGATGTGAGGCTAAGTCAAGCATCAGCATTATATAGTAAGGATTTTACTTCAGACATGCATTTATAAGTACATAGGTACAGAGGTTCTGTGTGTGCATTATTCATATTGAACTCTTGACAATGTTAAACTCTCTAGCACAATCTCAATTTTTCTACCTTATAATTCAGAGCTAATAATGGGACTAAGTCTTAATTTTTTCTTGTAAATAGCTATATATTCGTGCATGCCCATGTTTTATGCATGGATCCACTCACCAACATGTATCCAAAAGAATGTTCTGGTTCTGATAATGGATTGAACATGATTAGTTAATGATGATGCAGATGACATTGGTGAAGATGGTGAAGATGGTGATGATGGTGATGATGAGCTAATAACGGGACTAAGCAGTTCATTGGAAGAGGGAGAGAACAGGTTCTCAGCGAAATATTGAGAGGGAGGAACCTGGTACGAAGTTGAAGAAGAAAGCAATGGTGATTATTGAGGTAAATATCTATCACATTCTTGTTATCCCACATCCATGCACATGAAAAGCTACTTCCACTGTATTGCACAAGCATGCAAAAAGACATGGTTCACCCACACACACATGCATCATATCTCACTACTAAGGAACAAAAAGAAGAATCAAAGGGACCTACTTGAGAGAAACATGCAATCTATTCACTAGGCAACCCTATAGCTATGCGTCTGGAAGGTGGACACCACGGTGCAATTGATGGGCAATCACTTCTTTTCTACTGTTTTTACCGTTAAGAAATCCCTGCTAAACAAACTAAAATCTGAAATTTTTGTTTTGTCATTGTCAGGTTGAACATGAAGATGCTGGTGCAAGGCAAAAGGAAGTCCAATGAAAGAACCTACGAAGAACGTCTGGAATTAAGCTACCAAGAACAAGTGGTTATTGAGCCATATATAAGCTGTATCGTCTCATGGGTCGCTTGGGGGTGGAGAAATGCTTAGCATCAAATTTTTTATTTAATTTTGACCGCGATATATAATCGCATCAGATTTTGATCTTTGAAGATAACAACAAAGGCAAAATGTTCATGAGATCAGTTACACAACATTTATGAATGGAAGTTTTGATTTGTATATTGCTCTCTCTCTCTCTCTCATGATATTTGTTTTAATACAGAACTCATTTTCACCCAACACGCTCAATCGTTGTTGCTGCTTCAGGCCTCTTGATGTAATCTTGTTATGTTAGGATGACAAATTAAGCTCAATTCCCTGCAGGTTGCAGCTTATGCAACCAGACAGGAAACCCACTGTAAACAAGATAATTAATTAGCTGGTAGTTAAACAATAGTGTTAAAAGGATTAAATAAGGCTCCCATTTTCTTTTCTGCAAACACAAGGCCTAATACATACTGTAAACAGAAAACAACCCTTTATCGTGGACAGTCTCGAGGAAAATGCAAATTGCAAGATCTAAATTGCCTGAGACCATAGGGAATAAAATTGAATCGGGCATGGCAAGCAACCGTGACAAGGAGATTAGGAACCATTGATATCACTCCAATACTATCCATCTATGATGAGTTGATGACTAGGAGACCAGTCTTGTAGGTGAATGGTTGGTTTGGTACATTCCAGGGAGTAAGCAATAGGATCGCACAACGGCACAAGAATCCATTATCAGACCTTGGGGAAGTTGAAGGAGGTGGATTGTGGAACACAATCACCAATGGTTAAGAGAGACTGAGCTGGGGAGTGATTGGTGAGGGAGGGACTTTAAATTTCTTGAATTGGGTTTTTTAAGTTGGATCTATCACCAGAGAGCATTGTTTAGACATAAAGAATAATTTGGCCTTCTTTATAAGCAACCTCCGAAAGATTGGACCCTGACTTCACATTGAAGGTCAAGGAGATCAACTCTTATATTTTTTGATAAATAAGTGGTATTTTATTAAGCATAGAACAGAAAAGTATACAATTGGATTGGATCGGATTTGAATCAGGGTATATCTGAATCTGATTCGATAATGTTCATGACGGATTCGATCCGATCCAAAATTCTGATTGGATCTGATAGACAAGGATCTGAATTTGAATCTCATTGGGAAGTTAGACCTTCGGATCTGATCCAATCCAATTTGTTTTCTTTAAAATTAATAAACCATTAAAAGAAAAATAAAATAAACCAATTTAAATAAAGAAAAACACAAGATACAAGTATTTTTTTAATTATTTTCATCATATATACATGTTTTTAAAAAAATAAATATATAACAAATTTACAAAAATACAATATAAATAATATGTTTATAAACAAATAACTTATATATGTATTATATATTTATTTAAATAAATATATAACATATATCGGATTGCATTTTCTCGGATCGGATAGGGGCGATCCGAATCCGATCTGAAGATCCAAATAGGGGTCATCCCTAAGGTTGTGTTTGGTTTGAATGAAAAAGTAGGAAAAGGTAGGGAACTTTTACAAACCTTGCATAGGTTCCCTGCCTTTCCCTTCCTATCCCTACCTTTTCCTTCAAACCAAACATAGCCTAAAGGATCTTAATGACAGATGTAGAATGGCATAAGTAGTCCTTTTAACAATTTACATATATACTGAATTCTTATGAATACCAACTATGGCTCAATTTGTATTTTATCAATATTGGCCCTCACCTTCATGCTTAATATATGATCATCCAAAAGCAAAATGACACTTTCATATTCAATTTATTTAATTTTAAGGTTATTCTACTTGAGCTTAATGCCCTAATGATAAATAAATTACAGATGGAACTATCTATCTAAATATCTTGATTCCTAGCAATATATCAAAAAGGGCATTTTGCATGCAAAAGTTTTGGCGATTCTATAAGGTTTAAGACATAGTTTTCAAAACCAAACTGGACCAGACGATCAGACTGGAAAAATCGGGAACCAGTTTGGTGACTGGTTTCATTTTATCTCAAAACCGTTGATTTGATCAGAAAACTGTTGACTCGGGCAATTGAATCGTTCAAACCATTCAACGATTTGGCCAGTTTTTTTTTTTTGTCAGAACGGGTCATCCGTTCGGTTCAAACTGTTAGACCATTTGACTCGGGAACCGGACCCCTGACTGATTCATTGTCTGAATTGGTTTTAAAAACCTTGGTTTAAGAAATCTTAAAAAAAGATCATTGTGTTCCTCCAAAAAAAAGTTGGGTTCCTGTTAGAGGACATTAAGATTCCACATAAGATTGCTTGTGGAATCTTGGAAGTCTCTTTTCTTTTTTTCCCTAGAAGTTTCAATAGGTCAACTCACTTGTTGGTTAGTTATGGTTTTGTGTATTTTTTGTGAGTTTGAGGGTGTTCTTCTTGTTTTGTTGTCCAAGTCTTTAGAAGACGTAGGTTACAACTTACAACATGGTTTTCAAAACCAGACTACCAGACTGGATTATAGACAATCGGATCAGAAAAATCAAGAACTGGTCAGATAACTGGTTCTGTTTCACCCTAAAAGCACTATTCGGCCAAAAAACCATGGATTTTGTCAACAAACCGCTGATTTGGGCGGTTGAACCATTGACCCAAACAATGTTTTTTGGCAGTTATTATTATTTTTTTTTTTGTAATTCATAATGGGTCATCCATTCAAATAAGAGTACTGGACCATTCACCCCGGAAACCAGTCCCCAAAATGGTTCCCAGTCCGATCCGGTTTTAAAAACTTTGGGTTACAAGCTTTGTCTGAATAAGGTTAGTTTTTTTAAGTTTGCTTGCCTTCGATTTGTGTGCTTCGATTAGTGTGCTTTCGACTTAGTCTTGTGTCATTTTTTCTTTTATAATGAATATATTTTTTCCCACCAAAAAAAGTAGTGTATTTATGATCATCTAAATTAGGGTTATAATTTATAACTTCTCTTCACTTTTCTATTAAAAATGGTTTACTATCAGCCATTGTTACTTTTCAATGGCAAAAAATAACCCTGTCTCATCAATCTACATTCTATCGATCCATGCTATTAATTTGTTTATATAACAAAAATACTTTATTTTATTTCTCTCTCCTATTCCTACTACTGTACACTAGTCTCACAACCCACCAACAATTCAATTCGGGTGAATGGATGAGCCTATTTCCAAAATTTTGGTTCAAAAGGGATAAGGTTGGAGAGAGGGGTATCACTGTAGTCTTGCAAATATATTTGTGTATTTCGTCCACCAAAAAACAGGTACTATTTGTTATAATAGAAAAATGTCTGATTAGAGGAACTTGTCCAGACTTGGCCCATTGCAGATCTCACAAAATGATTTGCAACTGGTTTTGGGTTTGTGATTTTGTCTCGATGATTTGGAATTGGTTCTACATCGATCTAACCCAGACTCAATCCATTAACAACCCTATTTCAAATGTGACATCACCTTATTATATTAATCTCTCAACCAATGGTCAAATTTAAAAATAAATGGTTTTCTTTTTTCCTGATGATTCTCCTTTGGTATTTTGGTTATACACCGAATCTCCCACAGGGGCAAATTGAATAGTGCAGCACCACACTAATAACCATGGTTTTCAAAATCGGACCGGACCAAATGGTCAAACCAAAAAAAATTGGGAATCGGTCTTGGTTTTTCCCCAAAAGTAGATTTTTTTTAAAAAACCGTTGATTTTGGTCAGCAAATTGCCGACCTGGGCAGTTAACCATTCAAACCATTTGAATGGTTTTGATTGTTTTTTTATTTTTTTTTTTAACTTTTTGTTGGAATAGGCTGACCGTTCGATTCAAATCGCCCGACCGTTCAACCCGATTAACGGACCCCTGGCCGTTTCGATCTCCTGGTTGGTTTTAAAAACCATGCTAATAAGTCCCTTCCCAAAAGTTAATGGTTGTAGTAATCAAATCCGTATCTCTACTGAGAACAAACCAGCTAATATACCATTTGAGTCATCCCTTAAATTGGCGCTTTTTCTAATAATTGGTTCATTTTTACACATGGATTAACATATAGACTTAGATTTAATTTGTTTAGATTGGATTTTCAGATTCCTCTTAAAAGTTTTATTATTTATCTACTTTGTTTATCTGATTGGATGCCCATGCCTCAATCTTAACCCATCCTGAAGTTAGGGTTCATACTTTTTAACCTTAATCTTAAGGCTTTGTTTGCTTTTCGGTAAGTTTGTTATTTAGGTAAGTGTTTCCTAGGAAACATTTATCTAGGTAAGTGCATTTACCCATATTTTTTTTTTATTTTCCAGGTAAATAAAATAATGACCACCTTAGCCATAAAAATTCAATTATCAAAAGAGGCATTTTTGTCCCATCAAAATGTTGGCATCTTTCCCCCAAGTGAGAAAGTTATTTACACACTTGGTAGATGGCTATCACTTAGGTAAGTGATAACAGGAAAATAAACTTTCCCTAATCCCCACATAAATCTGAAAAAAAAGAACATAGATTTTTTGGTCATAGGTTCCCATTAACCAACTTCCCCCCTTTCAAAATCCCCCCCTCCAAAAAAAAAACATACTTCAAACCTAACTTTTAAATACACTTTAGAAAGTTATGCCTAACCTCCATTCTCCGTCACATGTGAATGTTGTGTTGTGGGTAGGGTAGTTAATGGGTTGATTAACCCAATAGACCCAAACTAATTGGGCCAGTTCCGTTTCTTGATATATTGTCTTGATTCTTATTGGTTTGGAATTGGTCTCACCTAGTCCCAAACCGATTCAAACCCAACTCAAGTTATATTAATTTAATTAGTATTTTATATATATATAACATTTTTAGTAGGATTATTATAATTAAGTCCAATTGGGTCAAACCCGATTGTCCTAAAAACCGATTGATTCAATTATGGGTCTAAAATTACAAACCTTATCAGGTCCGATTTAGTTATGGGTCTTTAGCGTTTCTTATTGGGTTGGTTCCAAATATATTTGGATCTGACCCCTAGTTGTTGTAGGGGTGGGGATTGGCGATTTTTAAAATTTGTCGATTTGCATGAAAAGGAGTCAACCTCCAGTTCAGTTTTTAAAACACTGGCCAAAGTTTTAAAAACCAGACTATACAGAATTGTTATGGGGGCCCTTCCTAGGTGAACGGTCCAACCATCTGGTTCGAATGGATAATCCAATCTGA